AATGAAACACTAAGAAGGAGAAAGAAAATAACAAAGACGCCATCAACCGAATAAGCGAACGTGTGATGATGGATCAAGATTCATGGTTTCTTGATCGGTGAAATGAGAACTAAATGAGTGGCGAGACCTTTGACCACAAAAATCAATATGTGAGGGTTTACTGGTTTGCTTTGAGAACCAGAGGATAAACAACAAGGTAGCAACTCTACTTTCCCTTTGCAAAATGACAGTGCAGGGACGAAGGAACCAGGGCAAATGGTGTGCTTCAAGAACTGGACCTGCCATCTTGAGCCCACCTTGCAACCTGACGGTTTGGATACCATGTGAAATGATTATTATTGATGATAAGGCCCATAGGACGTGAGAACATGCCTAACAGCTGGGACTTGACCCTTATTTATAACTCATTAGGCCAAGGGCCAACAACCAAATGTACAAGAAAACAAATAAACAAAATACAAAATATTAACTAATATTCTCTTTAACGAATATGTAATAATATTAACTTAACTACTTAAGCTATATAAAAATACTTAAGCTATGTAAAAATATTAATAAGCGTCTTTTAATTAACTAAAAATTGAAAATAAGGGGAAAAAAAAAAAAGAAAAAAAGGTAAATATGTGATTTTTCTTTAGAATCCAATAGAACAAACAAGAAATATGATTTTTTTTTGTTTTCTCAATGGGTTGTGCTTGTCGCAAAAGCACAATCCAGTGTTCTTTTTTCCCAAGTTGATCAATTGCCTTATACATATTTACATATTGATAAAATAGACAATAGAGAAAATTCATTTACATTTTATAAGGGTAAAATGGTTAATTTTTAAATGGCATAAGGTGTGTAAATATCCTAAAAGTATCCATGAAGGAAAACCTAGTACCTAAAATTTTTTTTGGCTCTTATATATTTTGAAAGTTTATTTTCATAGCAAAAATATAGTGGCCATTATCCTACATTAATTTTAATTGTTAAGTTATGCGCTTGACCAGTGTCTTTAATAGTCAAACTTAACAGTGAATAATGATTTAGGACAGAAATGCTATGAAATAAAAATTTTAGGACATATAAGAGGAAAAAAAAAAACTTTCAGGTGCTAGATGCTTCTTCATGGATATTTCTGGGATATTTAAGCCCTTTATCCATTTAAAGATAGCTTCCCTTACTTCCCCTCCTATGCCAAACAAATGTCATTAAAATACCTCCATTTCCCTCCATTAAAATCCCTCCCTCTCCTCTTTTGAGCCAAACATAGTGAAAGAATTCATCTTTGTGTCTAACAAGCGTCTAATGATGCCCTAGTCAACATCAACCCCATAAACATATCAATCTATTTTGTATTTAAAAATATATTTAAATAATTATATTATTAATTATGTTATTATATAATTGTTGTAGGACAGATTTAGGGTTTAGTTGCCTACATTTAGTACCTGATAGTACCTTAAACAAGATGGCCCCAATAAGAAAATATCTATGTTTAGCCGAAAAAAGAAATAGAATTAGTGACTTAAAATTCCGTGGTGAAATTGGTGACAAAATTAGTGACTTGAAATAGGATTTTGCTTTTCAGCTTCTATATACGTCTTTAAATCAAAACCACTATTTCTTATATGCTTCCGCTTGGAAGCAACTCTCACCTAACACAATTTCAAGGTATCACAACTCAAAATGCATTTACGATGGCCGACCAACACTAAAATTGAAAATGGGCATCTCCATTTCATTCCCTTTACTGAGGCAATTAACATATGCTTTTAATGCTTGAAAAAGAACATTTGAGTATATGACCAAATGGTCATCATATATTATTGGTATTTGAGTACATTTACATTTATATGTAAATTTCATCTTTAGATGAAGGCATATATATGTTATCAGCAAAAAAAAAAAAAAAAGCATCGATATGTATGCTTGCAATTCTACACATGATGAGTAGAACGATAAATGCAGTATTAATCCTAAAACTGAGATTGCATATATTAGGCACTTCGTTTGAGATCTGCAGATCCTAACTGGGGTCCTATTTTCCTATATCACTATCCAATGACTATTTACTATGCTGCGTGAAATAATATTAATAAATTAATTAATAAAAATTAAACAACATAAGTTCAATATGGTTCTAATTATATTGGAGTGTAATGTTGCACTTCAATATTAAAAATTAAACATGAAAATTGACTAATATACTATACCATCTAAAGTTATTAAATTTCAAATAAAGCATAATAATACGTACGTATCTATATTACACATACACAAAAACAATCCCCTCTAAACATCCATAATTTCCCTTCTCTCTCACACTATTGTCTGCATTTAATGATGACAGATGTTTTTCCCGTTACCTTGACATTTAAGCATTAATGGTTGGTACCACAACAAAAGCCTAAGACGCACAAGAGTTTGCGCAATGTGGAGCTTATAGCCTTATATAAAGACATGTTGGATGATAAATCATTATTTTAATATATTTTATTTCATTTTATTCATATATTTTAATGGTAATTTGAAGTTAATTTGAATTTATTAAATAATATTTTGATTAATTAATTATGAGATTTGTGGCGCTAATTTGAATTATGATGGACTATTGGCGTTTTAGTCATATTGTGGAAAAATCGTAGTTGTTGAAAATTTGGGGTGTGGATTAATGTTGGGACATTAGGAACTATTTTGGAAAAATCATAATTTTGGGTATGAATTAATCGTTATTTAATATTTCTATTATTTTTAAAATAACAAGATGATATTACTTTTTTATTTTCTGAGATCACTTTTACATTCCTTTTCATTTTACCCCTTTAGAATGTGTCGGTTCGATTGTTTAGTAATAGCATCAACGCAGACAGTTACATCAGTATATATGTTTCTAATATGGGTCGTTGTCTGGCTATGGTGTTTTAGGTGTGGGCATCATCAGGCTATTGCACTACTTACCTTACTAGGCTTATCAAATATAAAAATAATGTTTATTTCCAATATATAATATAACTGTTTAATTAGTTGGCAGGGAAAAAAAACTATTTGATTGAATTAATTTTTTAAACAATCAAATCCTTTTGATTTGACTAATATTTTGAGTTGATACTGGGGGGAACTTTGCGGGGAAGGAATGCTTCTATTTAACTTCCTCTCCATTTATTATCTCTACCATTGAGTCAACATACAATGGTTGAGATTTAATATATTACAGTAACCTCATTATAATATTGTTGGCGAAAACATAATATCATTATAATATTAATTAAAGAACAAATATATTTAAGAAAAATACCTATTAAATCTAGTCAAAATACTTAAATTTAAATTTACTGTTAGCCACGAGATTCTCGGGATCAAACCTCTAGTTAGATACTACTCTGTCGCTTATAATTAGATCCAATTCTTTGAATGGATCTGTCTCTTTTTATAATATCCTTTTTAAGTTTGTCTGGGTAGTTAATGCATTATTATTTATTTTACTCCTAATTAAATGTATTCTTTTTCTTCATTTATCTCACTATTACTCTCTCACATTTACCTATTTATATATAGGGGTATAATTAAAAAAAAATTGTATTTGCTACATATTAATTGCTTTTAACTTATTTTAACTGTTTTATTAGATCACATAATTTAGTTAAAAAATATTATAATAAGGGACGAAAAGAGTACTTGAGAAGCGAAGCTAAGTGGCCGATGTGATAGGTGTCATGGTTATATTTATTGCATATATTAATTCTCAACTATTGAATGTTTGAGGAAATGGAGAAGAAATGTTGACAGAAATGTGCTGGTAAGTTGTTTGCCATTAACCAAGGGCGGCGATCATCAGTAATTATTCTTTCGAATACCTCATTCATCTTTCCTTTTTCCGCATTACTCGTATCTCTCATTCCTGCAAACATCCTATTTTTTATTCTGGCAACAACAACAAAAATCCCATTTTTGATTCCTGGAAATTTCTTACCACCGGCTTCTCATTCATCTCCATATATATATATATATATATCACAATTGTTTCACACTTCAAATCGCTTTCGGAAAGTGGGGGGTGAGACTTAGCTACTTGCTTTACACTTCAAGTCGCCGTCGGAAAGTGCGGGTGACACGCCGGTCACCGGCCGGGAAAGACAATGGCGTCCCTAGTAGGATTAACATGTTGCATGTGTTATATTGGCTTCATAATCTGTCTGTGTCTCCCAGCGTTGTTTCTTTGGCCATCGCTGGAACCCATGGAACCCAAATGTTATGTCATGATCTTCAACGTTCCTGCTCTGAACGAAACCTTGAAGACCTCTTCCAACCCCACCATCGTCTCCACGGTGGAGTTTGATAACGTAAACTCAAGAATATGGGATCGAGTACGACAACATCAACATCACCTTCGGCATTTTCCTAGATCAGAGTAGGACCAGGCCGATAGGGAATTATACTATCGAAGGGTTCTACCAGGGCTACGAGATGAATGAGCTTAAGCGGGCTTCCGTCGAGATTGATGGCAGTGGACTTAACCGGACGGCAAAAAAAGTGGACGGGAAAACACATTTCCGGGTGGATTTCATGACGTCGGTGAAGTACAAGAACTCCGGGCCGTACACAAAACGACAGAGCTTATGGGGAGGAGCAAATGTCCCTGTCGATGATTCCGGAAACAAAGCAGGGAAGAAACATATCATACTCTGGCACACGGTCCCCGTGATCGTGTCCGGCGCACCACTGCTCGCCGGATGCTCTACTATGATGATTCTGGGTCCTTTCGTATATGTCTTGTTTCTCTCTCTAGCCATATTTCTCTCCTTCTCTTAGTTTATACCACCTGTCCTAAATATATAGGACTTAGTTTATAGCGTCAATTATATTGCAAACTAAGTCTTACATCTAGGAAGTTTAGGGAAAAAAAGTAGCATGTGTTGTTAATCAAAGCGTCTCGTGCGTGCGTGCGTGCGTGTGTGTGTAAAAGAAGCTCTTTCTCTATCTGCATCTCGATCCCTCAAGGGCTTCATTCAACTTTAATTCCTGTAATTTTAGCCATCTGCGTCTGTAAGTGTTTGTGTCCACCTTGATCATCGGTTTTAAAACCTAAGAAAGATAGACAACAAATTATGCTGTCATAATAAAGTCTGATGATGAACTTTAATTAGCACTAGTTTTGAATAAAATATCATAAATGAAGAAGTGCCAAACAGGACCATTTATTTTTTCCAGTAACGATTTCTTGTACTAATGGGGAGAGGAAAGCTTCCAAGTAAAGGAAATATCAATTTCGCTCAACTATTAAGTACGCCCCACACACACACACACACACACATATTGCCATATAAGTATGCTACGAGTATATATATTAGATTGGCTTCTCTCCTTTTCCGGCTGCCCTCTTTCACCTCCAAACTATACCGTCTTGGATAAAATGGCGGGCGGTGACCTCCCCCCCCCCCCCCAAAAAAAAAAAAAAAAAGAAGGTCCCGGAACTGAAATGTCATTCGGGCACAGCAGTATCAAATAATTCTTTTTATTACTTAATAAGGGTGTAGTTCTGAGTTAAAGACCGGCGGCGGACCCCAACGGAAAACGAGATAAGCCAGGTTCTAGATATATTATTTCACAATAGGATTTTTTTTGACATGTTCCTTTGTGGTTAAATAGTTACATATGTGTGTGCGCGTGTCTATTGACATTCTTGTACCAAAACAATATAGGCATTCTTGATGTTTTCTTCTTAAAGCAATATAATTGACTAGGGTGCTACCTTTAAAATTGTGGCTATTAAATAGGAAAAATAATCTTTTAATCTTTATGTTGGCGACTGAAGAAGAATTGGGCGTGGGCTTAAAACCGTAACCCTAATTAATGCTAATGGTTATTTAGATAAAAATCAAACTATGATTTTAAGAATAGCTTCTGAATAATAGATTTTGAAAGAATAGAATTTAGAATAATAAATTTTGTATAAAAAGTGATTTTGATAAAGTAAAAATATTTGGATAGTTGTTATCAGAATTATTTTTATGTGCAAATTACTAAAAATGATATGAGTTAATATGATAATTACATAAAATATATTTAATTTATAGTAGTATTTTTGTTTCAAATAATAAATTTGTAAATAATTAATGACATGTGAAAAAATATAACTAATTAATATTATCTTCGGTCCTTAATATAATAACTAATTGGATCCCAATCTACTTTATGTCACAAATTTATTTAATTTTTTCAAAATAGGCTTCATATTGATTTGCACATGTTGAAGGTTCCATCAAATAGTAGTTCCAACACATATGACTAACAAATATTTTAAGGAATGCAACACATATTTACTATAAATAACTAATTTATTAAATAATTTTCTTAATATTGATAAATTAGTTATCTATTTCTTATATTAAAAATCAGAGGTAGTAATTAATATGTGTACATATATTTTTTTTTTAAAATATAAGATTAAAATATATTTTTATATCCCAAACCATGGTTTTATACTTGCAAAAGCAAAAAAGAAAAAAATCACTTCATGAAAACCACGGTTTTCAACAGATCAAAAGTAATTTTGCAAAAAATTGTGGTGTTTGGCTTCCCCCCCCCCCAAATCATGGTTTTCAATCAAAAAGTGATTTTGCAAGAAATTATGGTATTTGGATGGTAGGATCCCCAAAATATGGTTTTGCTCGCTACCTAAACACTCCCTTATAGTTGTGCAACCAATCAATAGGCTACCTTCCAAGACCCTCAACTTTAAGACACCAATTAATCTTCTTACACAAGCCTACCCAAACGCTTTACTTGCCACTAATCTCCTTTTGAATGTTTTCAGATGTTTAGCCTATGTTTACCGCAATGAAAGAGGAAAATTTGAACCTGAGCCATTAAATACCTATTTTTAGGATATTCATCATACCAAAATGACTATAAATTTTACTCTCCCTTACTTCAAAAGTATTTTGTCACAATAAATGTCAAATTTGTAGAGGATCAAGCCTGCCACACCAAATCTTCCATTATGTATTCATAATGTGATGTTTCTTATTAAATTTACTTGATGTTTCTTATTCTTACATTTGTTGATTTTTCTTTGAACAAAAAATGGACAGATCCAATCAATAGGGTTCTGGTAACAACAACTCCTTTACTAGAAAGAAAAGGGGTAGAAGACTAACCCATATGAAGAAGTTAGCTTTGCATGATGATACCACACAGCCCACGAGGATAACAATACAGTTTAATGATGATTTGAAGGGAATAGCTTCTGAGGGGACTCAGTTTAACAGTTATATGAGTTATCTAGTATACAGTAAGATTGGCATTGATATTTCTAATTGAAAGATGATAGACGAAAATGTAAAGGAAAAGCTTTGGGAGGATGTTTTGGTACCTCACGAATTCCATCTTTCCTGTATTTGTTTCAATTATAATTAATTATTTACTTTGTCTAACCTTATTATATTTTATTGGAGCTCACATTTGATATTTCTGCAACAAAGGAGATGAAACACCATGTATTAAAGCAACCTGATGAATTCGGTAGAGAGATTTTAAATCTATGCTTATAAGGGAGTATCTCTGTGGGAGAAAAAAGGGTGAGCATCCCAAGGATCGATTCTCTTTTATTAGGGATGAGGCATGGGAGAAATTTGTCAAGCAGCATGAAGACCCTACATTTTAGGTTTGGTTTCTTCAAACTTAGCCATTAATAAATTTATATTTTATTTTACTAAACTAACTTTGTTAAATTTGTTTCATTATCAAAGGCACTAAGTAAGAAAAATAAGCAAATATCTAAGCTAAATGTCTACCGCATACCATGTCCCGTGGAGCGTACAGTAGCTTAGAAAGAAATATGATGGGGGAGCGGCTGCAAGCTGCACAGATGGCTATTACTTTTAGACCCTATTGGAGTCATTCCACCCATCTAGCATCCTTCTCGCCAAGAAAAATGGAAGGTGACGAGGATTAAGAAGGGTTAATACATCACTTTAGAGGCCCATGTTGTTGTTGAGAAAATTGTAAGTAATATCAAACATTATGCTTCATTAAATGCTTTTTCAGTTATCTTAAATTGAATTGTTACTTTTATGTTATAGGATACACTTGAGAAACAAGTATCCCAAGTACATTCATTCTTCATAGATGGATGGATATCTTGGCGACTGTGATTTGAAAAGATGACTATCCCAGTAGAGTTAGAGGGGCCCCTAAAGGAATTGGTATTAAACAATTCTTTAGCCCTAGTTTACAAAGAAGCACCGGTTTATCCTCCGTTGACATGGTATCTAAAGAGGAGCTTGGTCAGCGATTACAAGAAGAAACAAAGAAAGTTCAAGCTCAACTCAGTCAAGAACATAAGGCAGAGATACAAAAGATGGAAGAGTTCGATGCCAAGTTTTAACAAGCTATAATGATGATAGGCGCATCTAAATTTCAAATGCCTCGGGTGTCTAAATTGTCACAAGTAATAATCACGCATCTTCTCAAGATTCAATTCATCCATTTTAATTTAATTAACGTGCCTTAAGTAATTTCTTTCTATGTTTTAAGGTTCAGCTACGATTAAAAAGGGGAAGGGCAGTAATAATCAAATGCAATAGCTGACAGTGTCTGACCTGAACTTAGCCCTAACCATGCCTGAGATAATGGACTACCGTGTGCTCTTTGTGTGGACTCTGAAGGTCCATCTTGCCATGTTGCTAATGGTCGAGCATTCTCGAGCACAACAATTAATGGCAAGAAAGTACCAAGGGATCAAGTAAGGGTGATAGTGGATAAAATCCGTAATGGTCAAGTAGTGCACCAATGCCCAACCCTATTGATAAGGTTTGATTACTGGCACATGCTAAAGAAAATTTTATTTTGTGACCAAGAAGACTTGTTAGAAAGCCAGTAGTAATGGCAAAGAAAGTGACAATGAAGAAGATGACAAAGAGCATAGTTCCTGTCCTCAAGCCTCTTACTGTCGATGTTGAGGTTATGTATGGAAGCTTGGCGGTTCTTCATTCTATGGTGCAAAATAGGGAGCAACCAGTTACTTTCAAAATGTTACTGGGGGTTGTGAGTTTAGATTTCACATATGACTTCACTATTGATAGAAGGACATCGTTTAGTTCTTCAACTTTCAGGAGCTAGATATAGCCTTCATGCAATTGCCTATTTTATAAGTTACAATATCATTTTCTTATTTCATGTTATACTTATACATGTCTTAATTTTCTTATTTGAATAACAGATACTTTACCCATGTCTACCAAGATAAAGGACTTGAGGGAACATATGGCTTTATATGTCCTCAAAAGTTGCAAAAAGTAATAAATATTGCAGAAGTGAGGTCGATCTACATGATGATCACAATGACTTAGATAAAAAAAGAAATTATATTTTACGCCTTACTGGAAGGGTATGTATATTATTGTATTTGAGACATACAAATTATATATACAGGATTATAATTAACATGGTTTGTATTCTACAATTATCATTAGACCCTTGTTGTTTTTGCTCCTTGATAACAATGTCTACTTGTTTGATTCCCTGCATGGAGCTCTGCAAGACAAAACCAAAGATGTTTTTGACATGTGAGTTTAACTTTATATATCTATTATGTGTAAAGTTTACAAAAATGTGCTCTAATATCATTTTTTTTTTCTGATTACTGATAGTTCAACATGGTGGCCAAGTAGAAAAAATAAGCCGCCACCAACATAGATTCTCCCTCAAGTATGTTGTCTTGGGCTAAGTATATGTTTATAAATTTTTTGAATAATCAAGTTAATGTTTATAAACTTTTTTAGATGATCAAGGTTAGATATTCAATTTTA